CGTGAACAATAGTGGTTGCTCTCACAAACAACAATTCACTACAAGTGTTAGAAAATCATCTCACCCCCACTGGAATAGACTAACCTCTAACACTCTACGACAGCTCTCGAAGGCAATTCAAGTCTTTCACAACAAACCATACAAGAGATGAAACCAAAATATTTTCAACAATCACAATCTTAACCAATCACAATTTCTGTTATCAATTCAAGTATAACAATTCTTCAATTCTCAATATACTACAGTAATAGAAAATTAAATTATGCAAGAGATCATCTCAAAAAAACCTTCATAATTTGGATATTCAAAATTCTAGGGTTTTGCCAAAATTTCTAGTCTCTTGGAACAAGAACAAACATTTAGATGAAAACATAATTTAATCAAGCATAAGAGTTTAGATATCAATAATCACTATAAATTTCACCATAGAACATGTATTTTGGAAAAGTTAGGGTTTTAAAAATTCAAGAACAAATACTCCTTGAACCCAAACATATATTTTGCTCAAGACTATGTTCCAATGATAAAGAAATCAAGAACTCATGTATATCTATTATATAATTATCAAGAAGATTAAAAATATACATAATTATACCCTAAGTCTCAATGAAAGGACTTAAGAAGAATCCCTTACCTTATTTTTAGTTTTGTGTGAAGAGCTTGAGATTTTGATCCACTTCAATGTGAAAATCCTTTTTGATCTTGTGTTTTTATCCTTCTTTCTTCCTCTCTAATACTTTCTAGGGTTAGAAATGTTGAAATAGGGCTAATGGAGGCAGCCTTATGTATTTATAAGGTGAGAAAAAAATGCAACCGACGTAAATCTGATGTTCTAATTCGCTGCTCACGTTCGAACATCACTTGCTCCTAGTACTTTTTGTTTTTCCATCAGACAAGAGTACTAGAATGAATTATCATTTGAACGGACTTTCACGTTCGAACAGACTCTCTGTTTTTGCTGAAACTTTCAGTGATGTTTTGGCTTCTTTAGAGGTTTATTTGAAAACTTTTCGTGAAATGCACTTTTATAGCCCTGAAAGTCTATTATCTACTGTAAAAATTTCAGTTCAAACGGACATCAAGGTAAAAAGTTATGGTCGAAATACTAAGGCAGTGTCAAAATTCTTTCTACCCAAATTCTATCTACAATGTACTTTAACTCTGGAATTCTTCCTAAATTTATTACACCCCATATTACCTCTCCCAATGTTTCTCTATCTTTCGGATTCAATGAAAATCTTACTTTGACCTAAAAATTTTTTGAACTTACCTAACAACCCCTTCCGAGCTTAAATACCTTCGAAACTTAAACTTAACAATCAATTTGCCTCCCAATTATTTATTTCTACTGTTATAATCTATGTGGTTCATTCTTACGTCATTACATATATTAAAATTACTAAACAATTATATCATTATATTAATATAAATATGTGGGGGTTTACAATTTTTCTCTTAACAACTTCAAACTACTGAGTAGATTGGTTTGTGGTTTTCAGCTCGTGGGTGTTGGGTATCAAATGTGTGAGAAGATTTATTGGATATCAAATATTTCTAGGACTCTGATCACATCGAATACTAAAAAAGTGGAAGTTTCTAACATACTATGAATGAGCTCGTTGTCTATAGGTTTAAACTTTTAGGTGGATATGAATTTTAAACATGTATACTCAGGGCTTGTATTACTTGTCTCCTGACAAGATTGAATTGGTAGTGTAGCAGAGATGTAGAACTTGAGTTTTCATTCACCTTGCTAGTAAGTTTATCTTTGTCGGGCAATAGTGGGGAGAGAGAGAGAGATATCAACTTGGGTTAGAAAGTGTACCATAAAACAAGATTGCTTCGTCAAAATAGAAATTTACAATATGAAAAACCATATTTGAATTTTAAAAAAAGGTTGAACAGAAATGCATTTCTTAGAAATGGGTAATTTTAAAATCTTATATTTGGATAATTTTTATGAAAAAATATGAAACTCATTGAATCATTGGAATTGCCATCATAGCTATGTTTTGCAAAGTTGGCTTGTCTTATTCTATTGTACCTGGATTTTAGTTTTTGTCTAGGAAATTGAAGGTGGGCATGTCAAGAAATTCTTGGGGTGAATATTACAAGGATGGTTAAAGCTAGGTTAGATTGAAAGTTAAACTCATTGAATCATTGGAATTGACATCATATCTATGTTCTACTAAGTGGATTTGGCATCACATTACACCTTGAGCTTTGTCTCTCTACATCTCCCTACACACAAAGTTTTCTCTCTCCTAACCATTGTAATTCTCTTGAAGTATATTCTACTGGTTACTTTATTCATCAATAAAGACCTACGGCCGCCATTGCCGTTTCACGAGAGTGGAATAGGTCACCCGAACTGAACTACTATATATGTGTGTGTTTGCTCATATTTATTGTTTTGCCATTGATTGTTTTATTCATTGCTCATTAATTACACCTCTTCATATACTTGATTGTTGATCTTGCACGAGACTAATTTGTACATCATCACTAATTATATTTTGTTTAAAATAAATTATATTTTTATTTTTAATTTTATATCAATAAATGACATAATAGAACATGAATTTTGGCTATAAAATTCAAAATATTTTGATATTCTATTTTGATTGAAGTATTTTTTGTATAAGTATAATATTTTAAACTTGAGGGATGTAAATATTACACGCATACAAATTTTAGGGGTCCAAATATAATTTATTAACTGATATTGACATTGAAGGTAAGAGTGTAAGTGTTTCGCGTGTACAAATTTTTGGGAGTTTATATATAATATTTCAAATATCAGGGGTCTAAGAGATTAAATGACAATACTCAGGTAATCTGAGTATAAATCTCCCTTACTGTTTTTGACTCGAGTGGACATAAAGTAGGGAGAATTATACCCAGACTTCCTGAAATTTATCACTTAATCACTCAGATCCCTGATATTTGAAATATTACACATGGACTCCTTGAAGTTTATATACCAGTAACACTTAACCCTTATTGTGAATATATCTGTTAATAAATTATACTTAAACTCTTCTAAGGTTTATAGGTTTATAATACTTAGACCCCTTAAGTTTAAAATATTAGACTTAGACAAAAATACTCTAATCAAAGATAAAATATCAAATATTTTAAATTTTACAACAAATTCATGTTCTATTGTATCATTTATTGCAATAAAATTAAAAATTAAAAATTAATTTTTTCTTAAAAAATCATAATTAATATACAATTATACTATCTATTAGAATAAAACTAAAAAAATCAAATAAGGAGTTTAAGTCATTTATAACAGAACATGAATTTTACATCCAAAATTCATATTCTATTATTTCATTTTTGAAATAAAAAAAAATAAAAGTCTAATTTTTTTAAAAAAATCATAATTAGTATATAATTATACTATCTATTAGAATAAAACTAAAAAATTAAACAATTGGTCAAACTGTAATAGACACAATATCTTTTAACTTTAATTGAGGTAATTTTGTATTTTAATTTAGTCGTTTAAACTACCAAATTAAATTACAATAGACAATATAATTTGTATGCTAATTATGATTTTTTTAAAAAAAATTTGAATTTTTATTTTTGATTTTATTTCTACAAATGATACAATAGAACATGAATTTTGGTTGTAAAATTTAAAATATTTGATATTTTATTTTTAATTGAAATATTTTTGATCTGAATATAATATTTTAAACTTATGAAATCTAAGTATTATATACTTACAGACTTTAAGAGATTTAAGTATAATTTATTTACTGATATATTTACATTAGAAATTTAAGTGTTATGTGCGTACAAACCTCAGGAGGTCTGTGTATAATATTTCAAATATCAGAAAGTCTGAGTAATTAAATGACAAACTTCAAGGATCTAAGTATAATTTTTCCTATAGTAAGAACTGAGAAGAACGATTCTCATTTCCAATCCTCACTCTAAATCATCTCCCTCTACATTAGTATTCATTTTAATCACCTCCCAGTGAGAAAATCAATCTTTTTGCAACAGTATTTGTTTAAATCACCTCCCCTAAGAAATGAAAAATCAATTTATGTGCACACTGTTACTTAATATTATCAGAATCGGATCGGATATCAAATCGATAGAAAAATCAAGTCAATTGTTTAATGGTTCAATCGTTGGATCAATTGGTCAAATCGACAATAAAATAAAAAATTATAGAACATAAATAATTTATCTTAAAAAAATTTAAAATATTTTTACTCTAATTTATTCGTTCTATTATCCATCAAACATTCTTTGGAGTAAATTACAAAGGGCAAGAGAGTAAATAAGACAAACAAAATGGAACCCTGGAAACTATTTGAGACTAAAGGCCCGGCAACTGGCATATTCTCATCTGCTGTGTTGTTTGCACTTTGCAGAGGCGTGAGAAAGAGCGAAGAGAAGAGAAGAGGCGGTCCGGTTCTGAGAGAGAGAGTCTTCCTGTTTAAGAAGCAAGGATAAATCAGTCGCCTGAGCCGTCTCAAGTCAAGAGGAGAATCGCCTGAGCCGTCGCCACTCAAGAGAGGAGATCACCTGAGAGTTCGCCGGAGCCGTCGCCACTCGCCTGAGTTGTCGCCTGGGAGGACCGCTGCCTGGAGGATCGACTGGAATTGAATTATATTAGGGCAAAATTGCGCTAAAAACCATCTGAGTTGTCTCTATATGCTATCGCTGCTCCACCAGAAACCATCTCCTCTCACTCTCTTCCCTAGGTTTTAGCAAACTGAGTATTTGTCCAATTAAACCGCCGGTTCACATCAAACCGTTGGTTCATCGGTTTTCATAAAAACCGGCCTGTTTAACAATTCGAAAACGGTTCCCATGCCTATGCGGTCCAATTCAAGAATCGGATCGGCTTAGGCTCCGGTTCACCGTCCGACCGGCAGGTCCGGTCCGGTTCTGCCACTACCGCACTATTAGTTCTGAAATCCCCAAATCCAAAAAACCCTACGTTGTCCCAGTTTTTTCGGATTTCAGAAATGTCTCAGCAGCCGAGTTATATAACCGACGACTGTATCAAAGAATGGAAGAATGGAAACTATAGCTTCAAACTTCCAAACCAAGTCCCAATGCTCCGTTTTCTCTATGAACTTTGTTGGACTATGGTATGTGTTAGATAAAAATATGCATGTCAAACGGGTTTTTGTTAATCTTGGTTTTATCGGGCTTATGACAGATTAAATTGTATATTTAGATTGGTTTGGCTTTATTTGGATTTTCCGTTAAATGGTTTTGGGTTAATTTTTGAGTTTATTAGGATTTGGGATTGGGTTGTATGTGTAATGAAATGGGTTTGGGTTAGTTTTGTGTTTTGTTGGGTTTTTTTGGTTTGATATCTGTTTGTTTTTGTTTATTAGGTCCGTGGAGAATTACCGTTTCAGAAGTGTAAAACGGTTTTGGAGTCAGTGGAGTTTTTGGATGGAGGTTCAGAGGAAGAAATGGGTTCAACTTTCGCGGATATTATTACCCAAATGGCACTAGATGTGAGTATCTCATTGCGTGTCTCTGTGTGTGAAGTTTGAGTTATGCTAACCATGTTTTACCGTTCTTTATATATTTTTGTTCTTAGTGCCTTGGCTCTAGTTTAATCTTTGATGGCATATGGGATTGGCTTATGTTTATGTTTTATGCTTCTTTGTTCTTTTGCTGCAATCCAATTGATGGAGGCATGGAGGAGCTTCATGCCTTTATTACTGGGAATATCCTAGATTGGACTTTGGAGACTTAAGAACAAACTCTAACCATCAAGACTAACTGTGTACTGATAATGCACTACTAAGAAGGCCTTCTTTGATGCCTTACTATCACACCTAGTTAAGCTCTAACCACCACAGCTAATGGTGTGTTGATGATGCACTGCAAAGGTGTGTATAATATTGGGAAGACCTTTGTTGATGCCTTAATATCACACCTAGTGAAGCACTAGTTATCTAGCCACCCTGTTACCTGAGGAGGTTTTGCGTTCTCTTTAATCTTAGTTGTATATTCTTCCGTTGAACTCTTACAAGTTAAATCGTATTCCTGCCTATATTACTGAACTGGTACTAAACAAATGCACACTCAAGAACATCTTGACAGCTCAATTTTTGACAACATTAAAGGCAATCGACCGATATCTTTACAAACTTTCAACTGTCTAAATCCAACAGTAATCACTGTGATTATCTTCTGGCGTCAAGATGAATGTAAAACTAATAGAATTGGCCCGCTTAATCTAGTATAAATAAGGACTGGAATCTTATGATAATTGAAATTCATTATGCACTATATTGGGTAGAATTAGATTTTCTATCCAGGGTAACGATAGGAATCTATAAACTTCTGAAAACAAGTAATTTACCGCAAAATAGATACACTTAGATTAACCAAAACAGTCCTAATGAAGGTAAAAGATAACAAAGTCCATGTTTGAATACTAAATCCCACGATTCAAGTTTGCTATGTACTATGGGTTTAAACCTACTTTGGTATCTGTTCAATATTTCCTTTCTAAAGCAAACTTCTAATTTGTGCCCGGAATAGACATTTTAATTGTTCTTGGTTAGCAATGATGTAACACTGCTTTTTGATACCAAAACTCTGGTGAATATTGTCGTTTACTTATATTTGTGCATTCATCTATTTTGCAGCATACGATTGTCGGAGATTATCGCACTCGTCTCATTAAATTGGTGAGTATTCAGTCAAAATAAACAATTCTTCTTTTGAAGCAATGTCATATATATATATATATATATATATATATATGTCAATTTTATTGTGTAATAATTGCATCAGAAATTGTGCGATTGATATCTCTTTTTTGGTACAAGTCCACTTTTGGTCTTATGACCTGTTGATGGGTTTCCAATTCTATATGCTTCACATTCAAGGTTTGTCTGGGGTTTTGCTGAAATAGGTGAAAATGATCTTCTGTTAGAATAGTCTTCGTCTTTTTGCACAAATAGACACTTTAGTCAAAGGAGTTACTGGTAATCGGTTGGTAGTTTGACTAAATGGTGACAACAAAAGTAATTTTATGTCATTTAGGAATTCCCTTGTCATAATGTTTACTACATCTTTGCTCTCGGAAATCGTTCTTTAGCTTTATAAACATGGAGATGGTTGTGTCTAATGTGTCACTCTCTCTGGCTTGACAGAATGTTACCTGTTATTTTTCTCAATTAACTCTATTTTATTTGGATCAGTAAACGAAGTACTTAGTGTTTTTGGTTCCTGTACATTATGTTGTTCTTTCATTGCAATTCTTGCGGCTACATATATGTTCCTCTTGCTTCCCACTCAGTCGAATTTAAGAAACGAAATGTAGGTTCCATTCCCTTGACCGTACAGAACCTCCCTAGACCTTGTAGTGGTGGGAGCCTAGTGCACTCAACCTCCTTTTCTTTTGAATTTTTTATTTGTGGGTCGCACTTTTTATAAGAAGGGTGACCCAATGATCGAAATTTCATTATGGTCTATTATATAAGTCAGCTCGGACAAAAGAGTTAGAGGAATAGAATGAAAATAAAGAAATAATTTGAATGTATTTCCAAAATATTTGTTGATACATATTGAAACATTTTGAAACATAGGAATTGCATTGGAGTACCGAAGGTAATGAAGAGGAAGCTATAGCTCCTTTTTAGCCAAATACCTTTTGATCTTACCATGAATTATTTGGTGTTTCAAAAAGGTCTCTGAACTCTACTCATTTTATGTTGTTATTTATTTATATCTTCTTTTGATGATAACCCCGTTTGTACTTTTATCTGTTGGTTATTTTACTGTTTATGGTTTCTTCTCTGTCTTTCTGTATGTGCGTCTCTCCCCCCCTCCGTATGTATGTATATTTATATGCATTTATATTTATATTTTGCTTTTGTCTTGATCATTTCTGCTTTTGTCTTTGTTGTAGGCAAAATGGCTGGTGGAATCTACCTTGGTTCCACTCAGGCTTTTTCAAGAGCGCTGTGAGGTGAGTTTTATTTGCTGTCTAAAATATAAACTTTTATTTCATCTATCCTGGAAAAGGGGAAAAAAATTTATCTCTTCTTCATACTTTGCAGGAAGAATTCTTGTGGGAGTCAGAGATGATCAAGATAAAGGCCGCAGATTTGAAGTCAAAAGAGGTATGCTGTTCATAGTCCTAGAGTTACACACTTGATTATTGTGGCATGAGTCAGATTATAGGCTGACACAAATCGATGCTTTTGGTATTTTTGTTTCCTTTTCATCAGTTGATGCATTTTGTACGCATGTTAATGATTTCTTACATGGATAGTAAGCCATTGAGTTGCAAAGGAGGAGTCTTTCACTGAAGGTACAGGGACTCTTTTACTGACCTACAGGAATTCCGTTTGCTGAATTGGCAAGTCAAAGAGTCCCATATCTTGATATCTGTCTCTAAGATAATGAGATGTATAGAACATGCTCAACTTGGTCCTTGTTACTCCTTTGTGTTGATGCTTCATTGCTGTTGATTTCAGGTCAGAGTAAACACTCGCCTTCTTTATCAACAAACCAAATTTAATCTTCTTCGGGAAGAGAGTGAGGGCTATGCCAAGCTGGTAGGATTATGTTTTAAATTAGTTTTCTTTTCTTGCTTGTTAGAATTTGTTTTATGTGTGGCAGGGTATGATCACATTCCTCTTGCAAGGGGATTACATAATGGGCTTAGTTTTTTCTTTTCACCCAACGAAATAGAGGTGTTTTTAACTCTTAAGGAAGAAGATGATCTCTCTGCACTTTATTCTTATCTTTATTTTACTAATATCTGAATCATTATTAGAAAATCCTATACAGTGTGATGGAAGGTCCCCCCCCCTTCCTTTTTACCCCAAAAAAACTGCAAAAAGTAGGCTGCTACATGATGTTTTCATAGAGAAACTGATATTATTCAGCTTTGGATTTTTGCTGATAAATAAAAAATTCGGCTTTGGATATTTCAATTTGTGCTTTATCAGTTTTGGCATGAAAGCTATCCTGCATGAGGAGGATTCAATTACTTTGTGCACATGCTATATCAGTTCTTTACAAGTTAGAATACAACAAACGCACTAATTGCCTTTTTTGTGTGAAGAAAACTTTGTACTTTGATTTCTTAGTGGACTTTCTGCTCGTTCAATGTACTGGGGTGTAGATTTCAAAGCATAATCGTGGGGGCTGTTGATGCTTACTCTGTGTTTTGTGTCAAGGGTGTTAGTTGTCCTCTATTAACCCCTTTTTGTACACTATTGATGGTATTCTCTGTCTACTGTGGTTCAAATGTATCGTTTTTAATCTCTGTACTGGTTTGTCCAAATGACTTGCATTAACCATATTTTGTATAATTAAGCAAATGGTGAGTCTCTGTTACATTAGAAATAATCGGACTTCATTGAAAGCAGAAATTGAAATGAGGGGTAGGTGAAATAAACAACTTGGATAGTTGCATTACATAGGTTTTCAAAAGATCCAATATGTACAAAATGGTGATTTGCCATACTTCTTTAGTCGATGGAGTTGACCTTGGGATCTTTTATTGATGGATGCTGGTTGCTTATGTGTCCTTTAATTATGTGCCAGTGCTATGTGGTAGGGGCTTTTCCCTATTAAAAAAGAAAAGGCTTAATACCGAATGTCATTCTTTGAGAATCACTTTGCTTTCATAATAAATTTTTGGTGTACAGGATGTGTGTAGTTGTTATGCAGTCTCTTTTGGGCACTCTACAGGGAATCTCATCTATCAAAATTTGAAATAAAAAACTTGTGAAAGTGAGGAGTTTAGACCCTCAATTCCAATCTTGCTGCACCGCTAATATTTGTGCTAATTAAGAAACATTAATAGGAAACATGACCAACCTTTGAGTTAAGTGACTAGGTGTCTCAGATTCTTGTACTGCTGTGGATATCTAGGTTACCGTCCTCTGTCGGGTTCCGAAGCTTCTGCCAAGAATGCATCGGCAGCTACAGTCGGCATAATTAAGGTTGTAATTTGAACTTCTTCCTATTCAAATACAGGTCCGTCTTTTTTATGTACAATTTCTAACTTTTATATAAAGTGCAGTCTTTAATTGGACATTTTGATCTGGATCCAAACCGTGTTTTGATAT